TGAAGTCTGCTTTCTACGGCACCCTCCGCCTTAATCCCAATCTCTCTCTCAAGAGGTTCCTCCATCCTCTGCTCAGGCGAAAACAAACTCACCTCCTCCTGCATATCATGCACCGCCTCAAGGAGCACGCCCATCGATCCCTCTGCTGAGCCCTGAGCCGGCTCACTGYTAGATGGTGGCAGCCCCTCCTCTACTGCCAAAGGTACGACAGGGCCTGCCGCCGCCACTGGCAGCGTCGCGAGCTCAGTAGGGGCTCTAAACTCGAACGCCTCTCTCTCTGCCTGTCTCTGGGCTCTCGCCTTCTCTGGCTCCAGGATAGCTCTCCCCATAGGTGGCTCCTGGCGAGGCTCCGCTGCAGGTGGCTGCCCTGGCAATCCCTGTCCTGGCTGCCTCTGCTCTCCTTGCCTACTGCTCTCTGGCCTGTCCACCCTTCCCTGGGTTTGCTGCCTCAGGCTCTCGATGATAGCTGCCTGGCTGGCCACCAAGGCCCTGAGTTCCTGAATTTCCATCTCCATAGCCTCCAGGCGTATTCCATGGCTTACTTCCTTTATCTTCTTCCCTGTCAGATCGCCGTCCAATAACAAGTGCCGGTCAAAAGTGGTCTTGGCCAGGAACTTGATTTTACGATCTAACCTCTCTTCCGCCTTCCTGGCTACTCCAAACCCGGCTCTGACTGGCGATGGAAGCTCCTCTCCTCTCTGCTCCCAGAAGTCCCTCCACATCTCAGGGATCTCCGGGGCCCTAGCGGGTATGCTACCCGGGGTTGCTCCTGCTGCCTCTGATCTCTGCCTCTCCTGTTGCTGCTCTGGGAGCTCCCCCGCTGCCTCCAATCTCTGCCTCTCTTGCCATATCTCATTTATCCGTCTTGTTCTTCTCGCCCACTTTTCTTCAGCCGTTTCTCCAGCTGGCACCCTTTCCCTCGTACGGAGGTCGGCCCTCTTCGGGATTTCTGCTTCCATCTCCTTCTCCAGTTGGCACGGCTCCCGGCGCGGCTCAGCAGATGCTGGCTCCTCTAGGTCTGGGTGCTCCAGGGCATAAGCTGCTAGGTGCCTATCAATCAAGGTCAAGGCTTCTCTCCTTACGRCTGCCCTCTCTCTCTTCCTTTCTGCCGTCCCTTCTGGCGAAGGAGCCTTTTCCGACGAAGGTAAGGGGGCCTCCTTTCTYTGCAATCTCTCCTTCGTCTGCCGGGTGCTTCCTGGTGTATCCTCGAGTCTCAAGCCCATTGCTGGTGCCTGTGGGGGCGTGTCCTCTTCAACTTCTATCACTTCCTTTCCCGCACGTCTCCCCTCATCGCCCAGCCCTCTCTCTCGCTGAGTACCCTGGGCCTCTTCCCGTAGCACCTTCTCCTGTGATACCTCCTCTCGCGGTATCCCCTCCTGTGGCACCTYCTCTCGTGGCACCTCCTCTACTTGCTCTTCATGTTTCTCATCCTGAGGCGACGCTTTCCACTGAGAGATATCCAGATGCATTTCTAACTCTCTCAACGGCCCTTCAGACACTGACGGCTCCTCCCGTGGGTGTGCTGGTGACCTCCTTAATCCACCCTCAGTAAAACGATGGAACTCCACTGGTCCCAACCCACACTCAAGATATGTCTCTTGCTCTTCAACCTCTGGCTCCTGCTCCGGCTCCTCCTCTCTCCTGGCTAGGGCCTTCCGTCCTCCCCGAGACGGTCTCACCTCCCTGGGCTCAGGGTCCCTCGGTCTTTGACTCCTCTGCCGCCTCTCGACTCTGGGCTGAGGGAGCTCTGGCCGTCGAAAGGCCTCTCTCAGATGTGCCCTGCAGCKCTCCCAGTCTCGTGCCATGTCCCTGATCTGCATAGCCAGTGGCCTTTCCGCCTTCCTGGTCCAGAGTGGTAGCGTCTGTATCCAATCATCTCTCGGTATGCCCTGTCCCTGCATGAACCACTCAAACGCGGGGATGAAGTCCGACGCATTTCCAATCTCCAGGCGGATCGGCCTGTCATCAGGTCTCACAGGCGAGGGTCGCAACTCCTCCATCCTCATCTCCACCTCCTGCCTCGTCGTCGCCTCCCTACGAATCCTGGCAATGGGCTCCTCGAACCTACCTGTTCCCCTCAATCTCTCAATTGCCTGAGCGACGGTCCAGCCCATACGCCTCGCATGCTCTCAGAAACTATCCAGGAATAGCTCGATGTCCCCATCATTGTAGACTGGAATACTCTCTCGATGGCGAGGTTCATGCCTYTCATATCCTCCTGATGCGCCCAACGGCCTCTGAGGCGGCCGTGTCCCCTTCCCTCCTCTTGGCATGGCTGTCTTCGTAAAGTCAGACCTGCACAAGAGGCGAGGGAGACAACAGGCACACATTGGGGTAAGCAAGCAGGCGATAATCAAAGCAAGCTCAGACCAGACCATACTCATGCAGCATGCATCCTACCTAACCTACACACCCTGTTACTTCTATCCTAAAGGCAGTCAGGTCATCTCTCTTACCTCTTCTCTCGCCACAAATTTCTTCAGTCGCGTCCCGGATACCCAATCCTTTCACTCAGTCCCATTTATCTCCTCGATCTGGTACGCTCCGAACTCTCCGACCCGTGCGATCCGGTAGGGACCTAACCACCTCTTATCGAGCTTTCTGGACCACTGCTTCTCCAATGATGAATCATAGAGAAGCACGACATCTCCAACTGCCAAGGGTACTTTCCTCACCCGCGCAGATTGATCTCATCGAGCCTTATCGTCCATACGGCTTCTCGCCACCTGGTCAGACGCCTCTTGGATCCTTTCTTCTATCGCCCCTATCTGCCGCGCCCGAATATCGAGCAATTCTTCAAATGATAGGTTAACTTCCAGATCCTGGCGCCTCCATGTCTTAAGAAAGCTTTCGATAGGGAATGTGGCGTGCCTTCCGTACCACAACGTCGCAGGTGCGTACTTGGTGGATCTTTTTACTGTAATATTCTC